CTGTCTGTCAGGGCTATTACAAAATTTACATTAACATGGGTAAAATACGCAAGTAAATGTAAATTAAGCCAACTAATGCAAATAAGCGCTGTGGTCTGTCAGGGCTATTAGTCTCATTATTCTAATTATTCATAAATAGGGACTATATAAATCTCGAAAAATTTTAGATGTTACAAATAACAAACAACGATTAGGTAATATCTATTGCCCGTTTTTAGACACAATTGGAAACAGATTTATCAATTTTTGTACCATAATGTCTTATGATATAAACCACCTAAATATAGTTATATACTACGCCCAAAAAATAAGGTGACATTGTATTTATTTTGAAAATTCTTTATTTATTCTTCCAAGTCAATTTCATGCCCTCAAAGTAATCTCCTCCGGATGTAATGCACTTATGCCAACGACTTTCCGATTTTCGAAACACTGGTTGTAGTCACTTTCCGGGATGGCTTTCACTTCCGTCTTCGCTGTGGCTTGAATATCTTACAAAAACGGTGTCCCCGGAGCGGTATTTTAACTTTCGTGAACAGCCAGAAGTCRCACGACCCCAGATCAGGTGAATACGGGGGTTGCGGAACAATATGGGTTGAGTTTTTGGCGAAATGATCATTTAACGCAAATTCTTAGCTCAACAAATTTCGACATCGCAAAAGACGAAAAACTCACCTTTAGCAGCTCACAAAACGACACGTATCTCAAACACTAATGAATATTTTGACATGAAATTTGACATAAATGTGCCTGACAGTACTACCAACCTAAAAAAAAAAAAAAATTCCAAATCCTTCGACGCGCGCAGTTCAAATGTCACCTTATTTTTTGGGCATAAAAAAAATCTGCTAATGCACTAGATATATGCTTCGTGGTGTAAAAAATATTTTTTATTTATTTATTTAAATGAGAAMTAATTATTAATAATTAATACACAAAGATTAAGCACTATCTACTAGGGCCTTCGGCTATCTGTTACAATAGCCAGTGAGGATGAGTGTTCTCCTTTATTAATTGTGGTGTTGATATTATGTCAAGTTTTTTTATAATGTTTATACATTGTACGATCGTGGATGGTTTTTTGGTGGTACGAAATGTTTTCATCGCATTAAACAAAAGGGAGTTTTTGCACTGGAGGAGCTTTGGTGTGAGCATCGTTGTATTCTGCTTTGTTCGGAGATGGATGCTGGGTAGACCTGCTTCAGTTAAGATTACTTTGGTTGGAGAAGTAGGGAATGCGCGAATGCTCCTTTTTACCGCTATGTGATAAGGAGTTTCAATGAGTGCGAGATGGGATTTAGCACAGTGTCCGTAGATTGCGAGTCCAAAATCTATTTTTGACAACATCAATGCTTTTACAATATTTACAACAGTTGAGATATGGATATGACAGTGTTTTGAAGAGAMAAATTTTATAATGTTTAGTCTATTAAGTAAAGTTAATCTAAGATATTTACAATGTTCCTTAAATGTTAGTTTTTTATCATAAATTAAGCCAAGTATTCTTAAAGTTGTAGTGTGAGGAATTTGTGTGTTTTCGAAGGATAGGTTAGGGAAGGTGCATTTTCTTTTTCTGCAAACGTGAAATGTTGCGCTTTTGCTTGCAGAAACTTTTGTTCCTGACGTTTTAGCCCATTCTGCTATTTCAGTTAGGATGTTGCTAAAAATGATTTTTACTTGGTTTAAGTTTTTTAAAGCCGAAAAAATTAAAACATCGTCTGCGTAGATGATATGGTCTACACATCGGTATGAGGTTATTAAGTTGCTTAATTGGTTAAATGCCATAATCAATAGTGTTGTAGAAAGGGGAGATCACTGGGGTATGCTATTATGTAGGGGGTATATGTTGGAGTTGTGATTACTAACACTTACTTTAATCTTACGATTTGAAAGGAATAACGTTATGAAATTATACATTTTATCTCCAATGTCAGATTTTTTTAATTCTTGTAAGACCGTATGAGCTCCAATTCTATCGAATGCTTTCTCAAAATTTAGACTGAGGACGGATAAGTGATTTTTGGTTGATATTGTTGTTGTAGCGTGGTGTTCAAAGTAAAAAAGTGGGTCAATSACGCCAAGACCACTTTGAAAACCAAACTTTTTGGGGCTTATCAGTCCTTTTTGTTTTAAATACCACATGAGTCTCTTTGATATAATTTTTTCCAAAACTCTGGCAATGCAGGGTATCAAATAGATGGGTCTGAAGCCTGAAATTGAAGCACTCGATTTGTTGGATTTAGGGATAGGAATAATTGGAGCTTTTTTCAATTATTGAGGTACAATACCCTAATTTAATATGTTATTGTATAGGGTTATAAGGCTGATTTTTAAAGAGTATGGAAGATTTTTTAGGAGGAGGTAGGAAATTTTGTCTGATCCAAGGGTGTTTCCGGACATTTTGCTGATAGTAGAATCGAACTCTTCTAATGTAATGGGAGATTCTATCAATGTAGCCTCGAAACACGGGGATGGGTTGTGGTATGTTTGAGAAATGATTTTATTAGAAAGTGTAACAAAATTCCGATGAAAGGTGAAATTTTTGAGTTGTTTGACCACATTTGTGCAAAGTTTTCTGCAATATGCTGGGGATCGTAAATGGGACCTACGGGAGATTGAATAAAATCGATTTTTTTTTGTTCATGTCCTACTGAAAGAGATTTGATATCATTCCATATTTTTTTAGACCTTGAAGTGGGTTTTATATTAGCTGTTAATTTTTCAAGGGCTATGCGTTTAGCAGACTTTAGTTCTCTTCTGAAGTTAGAGTTTGTTTTTTTGTATCTAATTAAGTTTTCAGTTGTTACGTTCTGTTTGAATTTAGACCAAAGGGTTTGTTTTGTATTTCTCAAGATAGTTAATAGATTGGACCAATACGGTAGYTTGGCGSTAAATTTTTTTTGTKCTAGTTTGGGGAATTGAAGTATGTGCAGCAGATCGAATAATCCTTTTTATTTTTGATGCTTCTGCTTTTATGTTCTCTGATACTATTTCAGCACTTGTTGATGTGTTGAGCAGGGAGCAATATTTTAACCAATCAGCTTTTTCTGTAAGAAATTTTGATCTCGGCTTAACGATGTATTGTATCGGGGTGATGAGGGTAGTTATGATAGGAAAGTGGTCGCTATTGTGAAAGTCTTCTAGAGTATAAGAACAGAGTTTATGGGCTATGGAAGCAAAGAGCAATGTCTGTGTGAGTGAAAGGGAGAGGAAAAGTGAGTTGGTGATCTATCGTTAAGAACAAATAAGTTTCTTGAGTGACATCTTCCACTATTAGACCTCTTCCATTTGAGAAGGTAGATCCCCATAGGGGGCTCCAAGCATTAAAATCTCCAATGATTATTGTGGGTGCAGGAACAGCGTTAATGACACCTATAAGTTCTCCTGCATTAAACTTTTGATTCAGAGGGATGTAGCATGTGACTATGGAAAATTTGAAACCGATGTTAATTTCTATAGCAATGGCGGAAGTGTTGGATAAGACTGGGATACGTTTGTGTTTGATATGTTTTTTGATGAACAGGGCAATGCCTTGTTTAGCTGATTTATTTTGTGGTAGGTTATGGAAATAACCAATGTATTTGTGAGGAGTATATGAGGTGAGTTTCCTGTAACGCAATTACGTGTGGTGAAAATTCATTTATGAGTATATTTAAATCTGAATAATTGTTAAATAGACCTTTCAAATTCCACTGAAGAATGCTCATAATCTATTTTGTGATGAGGGTTGTGTGGGTAATGGGGCGGCGGGAGTGTTACTGAGGTGGGTGATCAAGTTTGAAATKAGTGAGGTTGTTGCGTTGTAGTCAAAAGGTGTTACAGTTTAGTCTTCGACTGTTTGAGTGTTTTGTTGATAGTTTGTGGGAGTTATATTTGTTGGGTTGTTAATAACGTTAGCAAATGAGGGAGATGAAGAATCGAAAACAGATGGTATTTGTGCTTTATGGATAGTTACTGCCTCGCGAAAAGAGCATTTAATGTCAGTTTGAAAGGTTATTATATTTTTTATTTGAATGAACTTTGGACACAGTTTACTTGAGGCTGGGTGATCAGCAGAACAGTTTGCACAGAGAGTG